ATTCATGGACACAATCATTTTTGAAAAAGATTTAACTCAGGAAATGATAATTTCAAACTTTTCGAATCATTTTTAAGTTGATAATTATGAAGTGAAGGAATTCACTTTGAAATCCACATCAGTTTATAGTGAGAGTATCACTCATTGAATGATATGCCAAGTCCCTCAAAAAGAGAGAGTGTGCACCATTCTGATGGCACAGCTCAAGCCACCAACTATTTCTCACTAATAACTTTTGAATATGGGAGTCTCTTCTACTCCTCAATTACCCCCTTTGGTAATTGAGAAATCTTCTCCTCCCATGACACTTTTTCTAGAGGAGTCCTCTTCTCCCCCAGCAATGGTTTCCAGAGGAGGCGTCCTCTAAGCTAAGCCTACCTCTTTACAATGGTTCTTGAAGTATACAATGTATTAGTTATTTCTATCTTGTAATGTACCACAATGAGGCTAAAGAAATTTGGCCTAAAAATTTTGCACCTGAATAATATTTCCTGCCAGCAGAAGTAGTAGAAGAAGAAGAAGAACAAGAGGAAGAACAAAAACAGTAAGATATAATCCGTATATATATATGTATATATATTGATTATATATACATATTTGTTTCGAGGCATGTGAAGGTGTGTTGCCATTGAAGGGTTTACGACGATTCTCCTAAAGGAAGAAGATCTGTGTGTGACCATGCTCATAGGGGGTTCCACCGAATCACATAAATCTAGTGTGTTCTTTATTCTTGCCTCTCTCTCCATCCTCTTTCATGGTGCGTCTACATCAGTCTTCTATATGCACGAAGGAGAATGACGACACTTGTCATCCCTAACACAAGGAGCGGGAAGGCTTCACTCAACATCATCATGCTGACAATGGCCATGATTGGCTAGTCCACTACCCATTCTTGGCACACAGTAACTTCATCTGTATGCATCTCAATACTGGAGGCATGGGTCAGATATTTGTTGGTTCATAATCAAGCACGTCTAGGCAATTACCATCTTTCTATACCCCCATGCTCGAAACATTAAAAAAATATCACTATTTTTCGTATTTCTACCTATACAATAAGCTCATGATGTGCACCAATAGAGTTGGTTTGCCTTAAGATATTGTCTTGCCTACCCGAAGTTGTTGGTTCCTAGTTTACTAGTAAGCTGAGTAAAAAGGAGGGGGGAGATGATTTGATTCTTATTATATACATATATTAAATACATTTTATAATTATTTCCTAACTTTAATCTAAACTAGATATTAAGTCAAACCCTTTTGGCCAACGTCCACTTCTGAGATCACTGTCTTGATTCCACTATTCTAGACTTTATAATACAGCTGATTTCTTGGGATCAGCAAACCTTCATGCATTCCAGACTCTTCGAACTTGAATTAATCCACTAGAACCCCAGGTCTAGTTCTGCTAAGTCGACTCTATTCTAAGCACACTATAGGTGCTTCAATGTATAGAAATCTTACGGCCAGCACAATGAGAAAATAAATAAACAATGACGATAATTTTTACTGCCACCTTTAATAGAAGATAGAGAGTTTCCACTCCATCGAAGGATTAAATGAGATGTAGGCCAATGGGAGAGCGAGCCGCATGAGATTTTTTCTTCAAACATGAAGATTTGACATCTTTGTTTCAGCCAAGGTTCTTGGTACATAGGTGGAGGTGGAGGGCGAAGGTCGTGATGAATATTGTCTGCCCCAAAATTTCCATCTAATTTACATGCCCAATTTTGGGCGGAATCCACCTTTTGGTATCTAGGCTTAATGGGCTGGACACCCCCCTTAACAAGTATCTTATTCTTGGGCCATTTTCTTAATTGGGCCTTAATGACTCTTTTATGTTTGGGCCACAATGATTGACCTCAATGGCTCTTTTCTTATCGGGCTAAGAAAAGATGGGGAATGAACAGGCCGTGCCTTCAACCTGTAATCAGTAATGCCTGAAGACAACATATATAAATGATATTCATAGATTTTGTAAAAATCATAGAAAAAAAAAAGCTCAACAATTTTATGACATTTTTGGTGCATTGATTTCCTCTTTGCTTCAGCTTCCCAATGAGCACCTGAAATCTGCTTTTTGCAATTTGAATCTTGCTACAAAGAAGTTATTTTCAATTTATAAAGCTATGACAAGACAAAAGTATCAAAATGATTTGGAAAAAATAAGAACATTATAAGAAACTTTCTGCACATGTTATAATTTTTTTTTTCATGAAGAAAAAATTCTTTAAGTTAGTTTTATCAATTTCATAATTTTTCTTTGAGTGAATATACCTACATGACCTTTCATATCATTAAAACACTTTGAGTTCTTAAACACAACACAAATATGGGCGTGTCAAGCCAATGCAAGGCCAGCCGTCTTTTGCCAGGTCCAAATCTGAAGAAGACAAGTGTTAAAATTATCCTTAATTTAAACTGCTATGAATCTCAAGTATATACCAGGCTGACCTTTACTTCTTAGTATATTTATATAAAAATGACAGCGAAAAGAAGAGACTGTCAAATCAAAGAGGGGGAGATATGGAGATATCACACTGTCAAATGTGAGACGACCCCATTGAAAAAACCGGCGCAATTTCGTGCACCAAGCTTTGGGAAAGAAATCTGGAGCGATTGGGTCTCAAATTTATCCGTCCAAATCCATCCCCTTAGCAGTCACGGTTGAGACTTACACAGACTGAAGTTAAATGAAATTCATGACATATTTATATGCCTTCAGGTTTACCTTTGGTTGAAGACTTTATTGAGATATTTATTGTATAGCCCTCAATTTCGGACTATAGTGATCTCCAGCGCAAGAACTTCAAAGCTGGATACAACAAACTTTGTAGAGATGACACCGTTGATCGCATACTCTTGAGACATGTATCCGCTTTTTAACAGCCACCAAATCCAGAAACAATTTTACGTAAACATTTGATATTTATTGGGGATGAGCGTCTTCGTCCTTACACATCGGAAAACTAATACAGCATACGCTAAAGATAGTGAGAGGGAGTGAGAGGCTAGAGATGAAGGAATACACACCAGATATATAGGCTTTGGAGAATGTTCTTAAATCCACTGTCGCACAAGGTTCTTCTTCCTTTAAAAGTGGAGGATCGTGCTACAGCTCAATATACAACCCTCAGATCCGCGTACTCGTTGAAGAACACATTAGAGCTCACCACATCATTCTCCATAAATCCAGAAATATTACTACTTAATTTAACGTTTTCTTTCAATTATTAGGTTCTAACCTTGTGATTTTCTACCCATTATTAAATGATGATCTTACAATGTACCAATAATCTTTATGGTCTTGTCCAGTATCTTATATGCACCAAAGATCCTGTAGTGCTGAAGTCTGGTATCATAGGGATCATTGCTTTGTCGAGGACATTCTAGGCCTTTAGGTCCACCTGTACGATCCTCCACCCTGAGTTATAATGAAGTTACTCAACTCCACCAGCAATGCCCAGCACGATGTCGATCCGTTTTCTCTCTCTGAGAACAGTACGTTTGTGTTCATCAAAATATACCATTGGTCAAGTCGTTAAATTATCTCTTGGCGAAGCAATAGAGAATTGGAAGATTTTGGCAGATAAATTCAATAAAATTGCCAATATGAAAAAAATATATATCTATGGGTCAGTTTTTCATTTTCAGCTTACTTCATGTGTGTGACGTGCAAAACGTTCATGAAAAATAGCCCATTAACATGTACCGGTTCTCTCAGAAATGGGCTGGCGTCCGCCTTTATTGGGCGTGGACCGTTTTTCAGGAATGCAGCCCATTTGAGATGGTCTCTTGATACCATTATAAATGGAGAGCCTCTCCAATTTGTTGGTGTCATCCTAAGGAGAGAGAAAAAGAGTCTTTGGGGAGAGCTTTGCAGAGCCAAAGGGGGCCTCTTTTAGAGACTCTAGAAGAGGGTCTTTAGGGAAGGTTTTACAGTTCCAGAGTGTGGATTTGTGCATTCTGTAACCTTATCCACATCTAGTGAAGATCCCCTTGTTGTCGTTGCCCATGGATGTAGGAGGACAGCCTTAGAACCACATAAATTCTTGTGTCCTTGTGTATTCGATCCTTCTTCCCTCTCCTTTCTTCTTGTCTTGCAGATCAAGATGCATGGGCATCACTTTATTAGTTGGAGTGGTCATTGTTTGAACGAGATTGTTAAAAATTGTCAATTTGTTTTCTAAAATATAAAAAAATTATGTTCCAAATGATTGATAATTACCATATATGAAGGTATCCAATCTCTTGTTCCTCATGTTCCTGTAGATAAACATCCTCTTCCCCAGTAATACAACAACCCAAGAGCCAAACAAGATTCTTGATTTTTACTATGGACTCTCTTTGCCCATCAAAAGACTTATTTGTGAGTCTCTTCACTGCAATTAATAGTCCATCCAGCATGATTCCCTATAATTCTTAGATACATTAGTTTGTCTTTCTTCTTTATTCACCAATGAAACATTTTGTGACTTAGTCAACACAGATGAAATAGTTCAAGCATTTTCCATTGGCCAAGGGGGAAACGTTGTAGAGGATACCACAGTCACCTTCTCCAATTATATTCGTGAGTAAGAAGTTGATTGTCGCTGCTAATACAGCAGGCAGCAGGAGCTTTTCATCATTCTTACTAATTGTTGAGTGGAGGTCGCTTTCCTCTACAATAGAAGACTTGGTTTCTATGAATGAGTGCTGATAAGTCTTCATTATCATGAGTTAATAATTAGTAAATAATATAGTTTTAGCCTTAACTCATGATAAATAGACTTATATTTATGTTAAAGTGTGAAAAGTGGTTTTCAGTTGATTAACGTGAATTTTTGGGTAATTATGTGATTTTATACGATTTTTACAGTCTTACTTTTGAGATAAATGAAGAACAAGAAATAAAAATAAAAATATTGTAAAATGGGGGGACCTACCGGCCAGCCGGGCCCGCAAGCAGGTCGGAAGCGCAGTCGGGGAGTAGCCGTGAGCAAGGGCTCGAGCGGCTTGAACCAATGGCGGCACCTGTGCGCCACTCCCCTTCCACATCACTGGTGGCCAGCCGACTGTGGGGCAAGGAGTGGTCGTACACGCGCGAGAAAGGAACTTTGCTTAGAAATGTAACATTACTATATATTCACCCGAAAATTCGGTGCACAACCAATGTGAGACTAAACCCGTCACCTTCCTCAGAAGAGGCGGGGGCAATCGGCACGGGTTCGAATCTTCCTAAAGCCAAAACTCATATTTTTATCTGATTATCGCAACTTTCTTACATATCGCCGGTGAAGGATTAAGTAACCAGAATCGTTGAATCATCGGTGAAAATCTCGTCAACGCGATTTGCGGAGCATTGTTACTCAAATTGCTGAAGGATTCACAATAAAAGGATCGCGAATCCATCAAGTAAATCATCTCTGATTGATCGACGAACAAGCCGTCGTCGGGAAGAGGACGATCCGTTGGGAGACGAGTCCCCACCTCCTGAGAGTGTACCAGATGCGATGAAGAGCCTCCTCTTGCTGCACAGACCTGAGGATAAAGCTCCCTGAGATGCGCCCCACCTCCATCCAGCTCCTCTCCGTCAGGTGACAGCCGCCAGAGACGAGTCGATGACCCATTTCATTAATCTCTAGACTTCGCAAGGAGATCTAGAGATTACCAACGTCGTCTTTGTCCAAGGAGAGCCTTCGAGGCCATAGACACTATACAACGATCCTCCTGAATGCTCAGGATTCCGGTGCATCGCCGACACATCGCCGTCGTGACGCCGGAATTCTGTTTTCCTGCTTTCAACTTAATTTACGCTTCATTTAGTGATACTTTGTGTGATTTTAATTTACCAAAATATACTTCGTTCAATTACGATTCTTCTGGATTTTATAGATCTTAATTTGATTAATTAAATCGTCTATAATTACTTACATAAGAATCGCCGGGCAGAACTCTGTTACTGCCCGATTCACGTTCGCGGGGCGCTGACGTCATCTTGACGTCCGCACCCTTATTTCCTTTTTTCGTGAATTTTAAATATATTTCCTTTTCATTTCCTAGTATACAATTCATAGAAAATCGTATTTATTGATAAAAAATCTAAATAATTACCAAATATTATATTACATCCCTGTGATCAACTTGGAAAATTACCACTATTTTTGGAAGTTTTATTGAATTATAATTGATATATTTGTTCAGAAATACTTCTAAATATTTGAAAAATCATATTTTCTAGTTTTATAAATTTTAGATTTGCGTGATTTAATATACAATGACTGAGTCACGTCAAATTTTGGCATCATTGCCGGGGATGTATTGCATAATATTTAGTATTTTTCTGTTTTTCTCTTAGAGTACACAAAAAAAAAATTAACTCTTTTTTTTTTTTCTTGCCAAATTATTTTTTTTAGAAAAAGGGAACGAAAAGAAGCAAGGCAAGGACTGGAGCATACTAAAGGAGGGTAACAATTACTAAACTTTTCCCTCGAATTTATTGATTTTTTTTATGCATGGTAAAAGATCCTTGCATCTAGAAAATCCTTTCATTATTTCATTCAAAAATAAAAATCCAAAAGAAAAATTAATTTTGATGGATCCTGAAGGAAGTATAGGTCAAACTGAGAACAATCCTATGGTCATGAAAAATCATTATATCCCTGATTCATTTCAAAGAGCATCCAATATTAGAGTCCCATTAGCACCCACTGTTAAATTCAAAATAAATCCAAGAATTTTTCAAATGCTCCCTAATTTCATGGATTACCTTTAGAGGAACCTCATCAGCACTTAGAAAAATTTTATATGGTCTGTGATTTAATTAATCTCTCTCAAGTTACACTAGAAATTATTAAGATGAAATTATTTCCTCATACACTTAGGGACAAAGCAAGTCATTAGCTATCCACATTAGATAGAGAATTAACTAGCTAGAAAGATATAGAACAGGACTTTCTTCAAAAATTTTATCTCTTAGGAAAAACTCAAAATATGAGAAAACATATATAGAGTTTTTCTCAAAGATCAGGAGAAACTTTGCATGAGATATGGGAAAAATTCAAAGATTTACTTAGAAAGTGTCCTCATCATGCTATACCCAAGTGGCAGCTCAATAAAATTTTTTATGATGGATTATTAGAACAACATAGAAATATGGTTGATTCTATATATAGAGGAGCTTTTATGGAGAAAACCCCTGATGAGATTTACAATCTTTATGAGAATTTAAGTGAAAATTCTAGAGATCAAGCCTCTTTTGAATTATATGACATGGATAAGAAGAGAGGAGTTTATGAATTGCATCATGATGATGATTCTAAACTTAGAAATGAGGTTAATCAGATTAATCAAATATTAGAAAAAATTAATTTACTTATTGACAATATTAGAAAGCCTTTTAACCCTCAACTTAATTCAAATAGTACATGTCCTATGTATAGTGAAAATGATTATTATGAATTTCAATGTTATAATTTAGATCAATCATTTCACCCTATGCAAGAACAAGTGCAAGTAGCTCACGGTTTTAATAGAAATAAGGAACCTTTTTCAAATTCTTATAATCCTAATTGGAGGAATAATTTTTCATAGAGAGACCCAAATAATATTCAAACTCCAGAAGCACTTGGACCCAATTCAAACTCTGAATTTCATCCAAAATAAGAAAACAGATTTCAGAAAAATCGGTCCTCTCAAATTCAACCTGATGCTATGGAAATGATGCAGCAAATGAGCCAAATGACGCAACAAACTATGAATCAAATGATGCTGCACCAGAAACAAATTATAGAGGCTCTTGGGAATAAGAGAGAAGAGAGACAGCTACCTAGTCAGCCCATAGAAAATCCAGGGAACCGCCCAACAATAGGATTTCAGCAAAGGGAGTCTAGTAGCATGAATCTAGAAAAAAACCCATGAAATGAAAATGTTAGGATAGTGAATGCATTAAGGAGTGGTAAGATCTTACCTGATCCTTATCCCCAAACATTAGAAGAAAAAAAAAACCTGGACAACCCAAAACAAAATCAAATAGGAGTAGAAGAGGATTTTATAGATTCTACCAAGGAAATTTCGAAAGAGAGGACGACCATTCCATTTCCTAAAGCTTTAGAGCCTAGACAAAGAAAGAAAAAGGAACACAATGAAGAAATAAAGAAAATTTTACAAGATGTGCAAATTAATCTTCCTTTACTCACTGCCATTGAACATATTCTTGAATATGCTAGAGTTTTGAAAGAAATGTGTACACCAAAAATGGCACCTAGAGTAGAAAAATTATCTATGCATGCTAGTGCATTATTATTAAATCAATTACCATACAAATTGAGAGATACAGGTGCCCCTTTAATTTTGTGTGATATTGGTGGATCCATTTTTCAAAATGCATTACTTGACACTAGTGCTAGTATTAATTTATTAACTGTAAGTATTTGTGATAAATTTAATATTTCTGATCTTAAACTTTCTACTGTTACCTTACAATTTGCTTATGGATCCATGAAACATCCTAGAGGTATTTTAGAAAATGTGATAGTGACAGTTAAAGGGTGTAAATTTCCAACTGATTTTGTAGTGCTGGAAATGGATTTTAATGGACAGTTTTATGATACACCAATCATCCTAGGGAGACCATTTTTGCATACAGCAAAGATGAATATTGATTTTTCCACAAGTATTACGAAAATTTCATGTGGAGATCAATCAGTAGAAATTAAAATTTTTGAGGTATCAAATGATCTTAAGAAATCCCAAGTATATGATTGTCATATCATAGATCTTCTAGATGATTTTGATGATCCAGATGTTATTGATAACTGTGTGCTGGAAGAATTAGAGGAAATAGAGAATATAAATTTGGAAGAAAAGAAAGAGGAAGATCATCTGAATTTAGAGTTGAAACCTCTTCCCTCTAGTTTAAAATATATGTTTTTGGAGGAAAATAATTCATTTCCTATTATTATTGCAGCTGATTTGAGTGATGAACAGGAAGAAGAATTATTAGATGTACTTTGAAAAAATAAGAAGGCTATAGGCTGGAAAATGAATGATCTAAGAGGCATTGATATGAATGTATGCATGCATAGTATATATCTAGAGGAGGGGGCTAGAACTAGCATGGAACCACAACGAAGATTAAATCTTAACATGATGGAAATTGTAAAAAAAGAATTTTTAAAGTGGTTGGCTGTTGATATTATTTATCCTATTTCAGATAGCAAATGGGTTAGTCCTACACAAGTGGTGCCAAAAAAATCAGGGATCACGGTTATAAAAAACAAAAATGGAGATGAAATACAAACAAGATTAACTACCGGTTGGAGGGTTTGCATTGATTATAGAAAATTAAATTCAGTTACTAGAAAAGATCATTTTCCCCTACCATTTACTGATCAAATTCTAGAAAAATTAGCTGGAAAAAACTTTTTTTGTTTTCTGAATGGATACTCTGGTTATAATCAAATTTATATAAACCCTTTAGATCAAGAAAAAACAACTTTCACTTGTCCATTTGATACTTTTGCTTTTAAACGCATGCCTTTTGGTCTATGTAATGCTCCAGCCACATTTCAAAGATGTATGCTGTCTATTTTTTCTGATATGATTGGAAAATGCATGGAAATTTTTATGGACGATTTTTCTATTTTTGGTGAATCATTTGATGAATGCTTAAATCATTTACAGCATGTACTTGAGAAATGCATAGAGAAAAAATTAGTTTTGAGTTGGGAGAAATCACATTTTATGGTTAGAGAGGGAGTTGTGTTGGGTCATATTGTGAGTGAAAGGGGTTTAGAGGTGGATAGAGCAAAAATTGATATTATATGTAAAATGAAACCTCCAAATTCAGTAAAACAGATTAGATCTTTCTTGGGCCATGTAGGTTATTACAGAAAATTTATTCAAGATTTTTCGAAAATTTCTAAACCTCTCACCATGCTATTATCTAAAAATGTGCCTTTTAATTTTGATGAGAAATGTTTTGAGTCTTTTTCTGAAATAAAAAGATTACTTACTGAGGCACCCATTTTACAAGCTCCTGATTGGTCCCTTCCCTTTGAAATAATGTGTGATGCATCGAATTATGCAATGGGGGCCGTTCTAGGACAAACAAAAGAGTCAAAACCCATAGTAATTTCATATGCTAGTAAAACTATATCCGATGCTCAATTAAATTATACCAAGACTGAAAAAGAGTTGTTAGCTATAGTATTTTCGTTAGAAAGGTTTAGATCATATATTTTGAGAGCTAAAATTATTATTTATACTGATCATGCAGCATTAAAATATCTATTAAATAAGAAAGATGCAAAGCCACGTTTATTAAGATAGATTTTATTGTTGCAGGAATTTGACTTAGAAATAAAAGATTAAAAAGGTTTCGAGAATGCTGTTGCTGACCATCTTTCTAGATTAAGTGATACAGGAATAAATGCAGCACCTTTATAAGATGCATTTCTAGATGAACAATTGATGGCAGCTCAACATCAACCATCACCATGGTATGCACATATTGTTAATTTTCTGGTTTCTGGAAAAACTCTAGAATAGTGGGACAAGAACAGAAAACATCATTTCTTTTCTAAGATTAGAAATTATTTTTGACATGATCCTGATTTATATTACTTGGGCAATGACCAAATTTTAAGGAGATGTGTTCCTAAAGAAGAATACCATAGCATTATTAACATGTGCCATTCATCTAACTGTGGAGGACATTTCTCTAGACGAAAAATAGCTGCAAAATTTTTTCAGTGTAGTTTTTATTGGCCTACAATCATTAGAGATTCTATAGAATTTAGTAGAACATGTATTTCATGCCAATCTATAAGTAACATGAGTAAAAAAGATGAAATGCCCATGAGTAACATGTTAGTAGTCGAAATTTTTGATGTATGGGGAATAGATTTCATGGGTCCCTTCCCATCAGTTGAAAAATATGAATATATTTTGCTTGTTGTTGATTATGTGTCGAAGTGGGTGGAAGCTATTCCTACTAGAACTAATGATCATAAAATCGTGATGAAATTTGTGCAGAAAAATATTTTTTCGAGATTTGGATGTCCTAGAGTGATTATTAGTGATGCAAGAACATATTTTACAAATAAACATTTTAGGGAATTGTTGAAAAAGAATGGAATACACCATATAGTAGCCACTCCATATCATCCCCAAACAAATGGGCAAGCTGAAGTAGCAAATAGGGAAATTCAGAGAATTTTGAGAAAAATAGTTAAACCAGATAGGAAAGATTGGCCCACGAAATTATAAGATGCATTATGGGCTTATAGAACAACTTATAAAAATCCCATAGGTATGTCTCCATTTCGTCTCATTTTTGGAAAGCCATGTCATCTTCCTGTGGAAATAGAGCATAAAGCATTATGGGCTATAAAAAATTTATGTATGGATGAAAAATCAGCTAGTGGGCATAGAATTTTTCAACTATATGAACTAGAGGAGTTGAGGAATGAAGCTTATAAAAATCATAGAATATATAAAGAAAAAACTAAAACTTTTCATGATAAATACATTAGCAGAAAAAAATTTGATGTCGGACAAAAAGTGTGGTTATATGATTCTAGGATGAAATTATTCCTAGGAAAATTAAAATCAAAATGAAAAGGGCCTTATGTGGTGGAAGAGACATATGATCATGGGGCTGTAATGATTAAAGATCCTAAAAGTGATCATAACTTTAAGGTAAATAGACAGTGGCTTAAACATTACATAGAACATGAACGCCTTGTAGAAAAAGAAATTTTATTATTAAAAGAAATTCAAGAGTAAGATCAAGGAGTCCAGCTGGAGACATTAAATTCAGCGCTGCATGGGAGGCAACCCATGGTTTTTATTTCATTCTATTTGATTTTTTTAAGCTCTATTTTTCTTAGAATTTCATAATATTTGTTTCTGTAAGATGAAGTGAAAAATTAAAAACGAGGTTGAGGTGATGTCTTGTTGAGCTTTATCATTTATGATAACATTTTTAATGCTTAACTTTGCATATATGCATGCTTCACTTGAAAATTATATTTTCTGCATATTCTGTTTCGATTTTTCTGTGTCATTGAGGACAATGTCATTTTTAAGTTGGGTGGTGAAGTATTCATTATTAATTTATGCTGTAGGACGATTAAGAACATGTGTTTGTAATAGAACAACAACTAAAAAAATAAAAAATAAAATAAATTTCAGAAAAATTGCAACATCTATTTTCTAGTTTTCTGTCAAGAACAACAGACTGTCAAAAATAGTAGACAAAAAATAGCCCAAAATTTGAAATTCTAGAGACCCTTTTCTCACATTTCAATCCCCTAGACATATATTACTGAAATTCGAAATTACAGCTATAAAGAGGATAGTTTTGATTTATTTATGACAAATTTATTGTTGCAAAAAATAGAACTGAAAACAGAAAAAGGAACTATCAGAACTATTTAATTTACAAATTTCTTACATCATATTGCATGCATGAAAAATTAAATCAATTAGATTGATTGATACCAAAAAATACTAGGAAGATTATTATTGAGTCAAAAGAATGATCTAATAGCATGAAATGTTGGAATACTCCTTGGATACATGATAGATAGCATGGATTTGATTTTACAGATTCTCACTTCATGATCTTGATGGATAGTATTTACTTGATGTGAAAATTTGAGTGATCATTTGAGTTTAATAGAGATTTTTGCACCCTTATCTATAGGACTTGTGAGGAGAAATCACTTATTTCGAAAAAAAGAAAGAGAGCAATGTGAAAAGTCTAGAAACGAAGAGTACACATGGAGGGTGTGAGACATCATTCTCATTGTCGAAAATCGTATATAGAAAAACACTTGTTGCAAAATAAGTGGATAAAGTGAAAGCCCTGAAAATGAAGAGTACACATGGAGGGTGTGAGACATCATTCTTATTATCAAAATTTGTCTATAGGAAAAGCTACTTATCCACTATATATATAAAAAAAAAAATAAGGAAGAAATATAGTGCAAACTTCAAAAATTAAGTCAAAGAAAAAGGGAAATGTAGGATCAATATTATTCTTGGATGAGTATTGATAATTAGAACATCTTGTAAATACATCTATGAGTGAAGAAGTGATAACGATGTGAATAGAAGAAGTGAAGTCTAGATTGTTATTCCAAGGAGTGTTTAAACATTTAAGTGCCTGACATCATTCTTAAATACTTGATATAAGAATCTAAAGTGTCTAAAGGTGCATCATTTCTAATTGTATTTTTTTTTCTGTATTGAAATATGATATTTGAGATTTGTAAATTTTTATTTTCGTAATTTCATTGCTAAGGAACTAGCAATGATTTAAGTTGGGGGGTGTGATAAGTCTTCATTATCATGAGTTAATAATTAGTAAATAATATAGTTTTAGCCTTAACTCATGATAAATAGACTTATATTTGTGTTAAAGTGTAAAAAGTGGTTTTCAGTTAATTAACGTGAATTTTTGGGTAATTATGTGATTTTATAGGATTTTTATAGTCTTACTTTTGAGATAAATGAAGAACAAGAAATAAAAATAAAAATATTGCAAAATGGGGGGACTTGCCGGCCAGCCGAGCCTGCAAGCGGGTCGGAAGTGCAGTCGGGGAGTAGCTGCGAGCAAGGGCTCGAGCGGCTTGAACTGATGGGGGCACGTGTGTGCCACTCCCCTTCCACGTCACCGGTGGCCAGCCGACTGTGGGGCAAGGAGTGGTCGTACACGCGTGAGAAAGAGACTTTGCTTAGAAATGTAACATTACTATATATTCGCCAGAACATTTGGCGCATAACTGATGTGGGACTAAACCTATCACCTTCCTCAGAAGAGGCGGGGGCAACCGACACGGGTTCGAATCCTCCCAGAGCCAAAACTCATATTTTTATCTGATTATCGCGACTTTCCTGCAGATCGCCAGTGAAGGATTAAGCAACCAGAATCGCTGGATCATCGGCAAAAATCTCGTCAACGCGATTCGCGGAGCATTGTTACTCAAATTGCTGAAAGATTCGCGATAAAAGGATCGCGAATCCCTCGAGTAAATCATCTCCGATTGATCAACGAACAAGCTGTCGTCGGGAAAAGGATGATCCGTTAGGAGACGAGTCACCACCTCTTGAGAGCGTACTAGATGCGATGAAGAGCCTCCTCTTGCTGCGCGGACCTAAGGATGAAGCTCCTTGACACGCGCCCCACCTCCATCCAGCTCCTCTCCGTCGGGTGACAGCCGCCAGAGAGCCGCAAAGTTGCCGTTTTTCCGCTCTATTGGGTGACAGCCGCCGGAGACGAGTCGACGACCCATTTCATTAATCTCTAGACTTCGCAAGGAGATCTAGAGATTGCCAATGTCGTCTTTGTCCAAGGAGAGCCTTCGAGGCCGTGGACACTACATGACGATCCTCCCGAATGCTCAAGATTCTGGTGCATCGCCGACGCATCGCCGTCGCGACGTCGGAACTCTGTTTTCATGCTTTCAACTTAATTTACGCTTCATTTAGTGATACTTTGTGTGATTTTAATTTACCAGAAATATACTTCATTCAATTACGATTCATCTTGCTTTTACAGATCTTAATTTGATTAATTAAATCGTCTGTAATCGCTTACATAAGAATCGCCGGGCAGAACTCTGTTTCTGCCCGATTCGTGTTCGCCGGGCGCTAACGTCATCCTGACGTCCGCACCCTTATTTCCTTTTTTCGTGAATTTTAAATATATTTTCTTTTCATTTCCTAGTATAAAATTCATAAAAAATCATATTCATTGAGAAAAAATCTGAATAATTACCAAATATTATATTACATCCCTATGATCGACTTGGAAAATTATCACTATTTTTGGAAGTTTTATTGAATTATAATTGATATATTTATTTAGAAATACTTCTAAATATCTGAAAAATCATATTTTCTAGTTTTATATATTTTAGATTTGCGTGATTCAATATACAATGACTGAGTCACATCAAGCACTAATAAAAATAATAAAAAATAGAATTTCTTTTGGGTTGTGAGTAAATTATTTCCTTGGAGTTGTTGCAAGACAGATAACTCCTCTTTCTTATAAGGTCTCTAGAGCCATGACTTAGTTATAACATCCTCTTTCTTACATAGCCAAATCTTAGATTGTTTGACTCTTGTGCTGGGACTAAGATGTAGTCTAATTTTTCTTTTTCTTTTTTTATGAGAATCACTTTAATGAACTCAGTCTATTGGATTAAGCTTTTGCCATTCAATTTGAATCACTTAGGGGTTTAGTTGCTAAGGAAACCATATCTGTCACCACAGACAAAGAAGAAACACCTTTTCCTCAGCCAGCAAGTGTTGTGCTCCTACACTCCTCAATAAGTAATAAAGCCAAATAGAGAAAATTGGAGGTCATATGATAATAAGGCTAAATACTATCTTTCTCCAAAAGAATATATATCCATTCTCTCACCTATGTATGAAGGAGAAGATGCTAGAAAATTGGGGGAGGCCATATATAACAACAAAAAATATCACAGTTTCCCCTTAGTCTAACGAGCTAGTCAATAATAAATCTCTAGAGGGCCAAAAGTAGAATGAGTTCACTTGGAATGCTCTAATACCATGTCAAAGCTAGTGGGAGAGAGAGAGAGAGAGAGATGAATGAAAAGAATGAAAATCTAATCATGCCTTCTCAGCTACATGTTATAGGTCTAACCCTAGTGGGTTGGATTTGGTGATCGAATAATACTTACACCAAATTGAGTCCAATTAAGTTATGAAGAGAGAGAGAGAGAGAGAGAGAGAGAGAGAGAGAGAGAGAGAGAGGATAGAAATACAAAGTTATAAAAGAAGGATAAGAAAAGGTAATCTCCTTCTCCGGTAGGTAGCATTCCCAGAGGTAGAATTGCAAGAGCAATCATCAATTCCACCTTTTTCTTTTTCTTTTCATTGAGTCCTTTCGATCTATGTACATCCAGAAAGAATAGCCATCAAATAATTCTTTACTTTATATCATATGCCATGAACTATTTGATTACAATACTAGCGAGGATTCAATTTCATGAGGCAAATAGAATGAACCAAGAGAAGAGACCGGCACTCTTACATATAGATCTTACACTTTGTGTCCAAAACACTGATGTCTAAAAGATTATCGAACAATGTGATGCATCCTTCTCTTACATCAATGAAATTGACGCTTGTGTTAAGAAATAGTGTTTAGAACAGGATCTTGATGAGCTTAGACTAGCCTGTCAATACAACAAAAACTTTAGAGTACAAGTACAACAAGTCTTCTAATATATAAATGATAATGAAAATATAGAATGAACTATAATAAAGAAGATAAACACACCTCACGACCAGTAAACTAATAGAGAAGAAAGTAATGACAAGATCTGAAGAATAGAATATAACAGAGACAAAGTTAATAAAATAGTAATACCAACCACCAATGAAAGAGAGAGAGAAAACAGAAAAGAGATGATGCCATAACTCTTGTTGCAGCCACCGGAAAGGATTGAGTTTTTTATGTCCTTGATTTATTTGTTTCCTCTCATGTTTCTCTCTCCTCAAGTTCACTTTAAATACAAGTTATAGAAAAAAGCCTGGATTATTTTCTGGACAGAAAACAGTCATAAGTGAAAACTCAATAAAGAGGGACATGGCCCACATGGGCCTTGCTAAAGAAGGATGACTAAGTCACCCTTACAAACCTCCAACTTGACTTAGATATTACGGTGATCTTCAAAGTTTCATACTAATAGTTCTATTAGCTCCTCATGACTGCAATAGAAAAGAATATAGTTGTATACATTCTTTCAAAAAGATAGGTTAGATCTAAGTATTATAAATTCTAATCAGGTTCAAACAATGTTGGAACTTTAAAATAGGAAGAAGTTTTATTAGCATATCAGCTGAATTATCTTCAGTACTAATTTTTTGCACATTAATTTCACCTGAGAAAATTATATTATAGATAAAATGATATTTGATGTCAATATACTTTGTCATTTTGTGATACATTTAATCTTTGGTTAAATAAATAACAACTATCACAATATAAATAATTAAAACTTGACATGAACATAATTTAGAGAATAAACCTCTTAACCATATAGTTTCCTTTAATGTCTCTATAAGTGCCATGAATTCTGCCTCTATTATGGATCCATAATACCCCATAAGTATCTAAAAATCTATTTAACAACATGCCAATGTGCTTTACTCAGATTAACCATAAAATGGATAACTATATTGATTGCATGTGATAATATATCAAGACGAGTGTATATCATAGTATACATCATGCTACCTATAACACTAGAGTATAGGACATGTGAAATAAAATTTTCATCAGTTAGGAACTGTGGTGATAGGGAATTTGAAAGCTTAAAATGAGCAACAAATGAAGTACGAACAAGCTTAGCATCCCACATATTAAAATACTTAAGTATTTTCTCAATGTACTCAGCTTGGGATAAGTATAGTTTACCTTTACTCTGACTTCTATGGATCTCTATTTCGAGAATTTTCTTAGTTGCCCCAAATCTTTCATCTCAAACTCACTATTGAGTAAAGCTTTCAGTTTGCTGATTTCAGATATATCTTTTGCTATGATCAACATATTGTCAATACAAAGCTGTAAATAAATAAAGAAATTATTTGATAACTTTTAAAAGTAAACACAATTATCAAATTTACTCTAAGAGAATTCATGTCGTGTCGTAAATATATCAAATCTCTTATACCACTATCGGAGAGATTGTTTGAGGTCATATAAAGATTTCTTTAGCAAACAAGTATATTTCTCCATTTCTTCAACAAGAAAGCCTTCAAGCTATTGCATATAAATATATTCTTCAAGATTGTCATGAAGAGAAAGGGTGTCTTAACATCTATCTATTCTAACCATAAAATATATGATGCAACAATAGATAACAAAACATGTATAAAGTTATGCTTAATGACAGGAGAAAAGATATCATTAAAATCAATACCTTCAAGCTAACTATAATTTTTTTATAACTACCCATACTTTATATCTAATATTATCAAGGTTTAGAATGCCTTCTTTTTTCTTCAAAACTCATTTGTAGCCAATGACTTTCTGTCCTTTGGGAGCCTCCACCAACTCCCAAGTCTGATTTTTATGGAGAGATTTAATTTTCTCCTCAATAGCAACTAGTCATTTGTTTACATCCTCATGAGATATTGCATCAGAAAACTTGGAAGGTTCATTCAGATTCAAAGTTTTTTCAACTATGGTCAATACATAAGTGACTATATCAACATATCCATATCTCAATAGTGGCTTAGTCTCTCTCCTTGACTGATCACAGGGAAGAAAGTAATTCTGATTTTGTGGAGATATCTCCACATAATGCGTATCAGGCACTGAAATATGCTCTTGTTGGAAAGACATCTTATCTGAATTAGATATATTTAACTCCACCTAGTTTAGAGTACTATCATTCTAATCTATAATTTTAGGGGCAAACATCCTTTCTCTTAGATGTAGAATTGTAGTTTCATCAAAAATAATATTTCTCTCAAGTAAAAGCTTAGGAGATTTAGGATTAAAAAACCATAACCAGTATCCTTTGACTCTAGAGACATAATTGAGGAAGATACACTTTTTAGCTCTAGGCTCTAACTTGCCATCATTTACATAAACATATGTTGGACAACTAAAGATTTTTAAGTTTGAATAACTAGGAGGGTTACTTGACCAGACTTCTTCAGGAGTTTTGAAATTGATGGCAGAGGTTGGAGATTTGTTCACAAGATGACAAGCTATAGACACTATTTCTACCCAAAAGTTTTGACCAAGACAAGTAGATAATAGTATACAACCAGCTCATTCTAGTAGAGTTCTATTCATTCTTTATGCAATTTTATTTTGCTATGGAGTATAACGAATTGCCTTGTGCCTAACAATACCTTCATTTTTACCAAAATCATTAAATTCAGTGAAGCAAAACTCTAAATCATTGTTAGTCCTTAGCCTTTTGATTTTCTTTCTAGTTTATCTTTCGAGCAAAGCCTTCTATTATTTAAAATACATAAAAACTTCAAATTTATGCTTAAGCATGAATACCCAAACTTTTTGAGAAAAATCATCAATAAATGATAGAAAATAATGAGTAGTACATTTTGAAGGAGCACGAGAAGTACTCTAAAGATCTAAGTAGATATAATCAAGAGTACCCTTGGTCTTATGAGTTGCCATTTGAAAGCTAACTCTTTTATGCTTACCCAAAATAGAATGCTCACAAAATTTAACTTTGCTGGTACTTTACCCATAAAACAAGCCTCTCTTGCTTAATAGATTCATTCCTTTCTCACTCATATGTCCAAACCTCATATGCCACAATTTGGTGACATCTTCTTCTGTCATTAAAGTAGATGTTGTAGCGACTAAATCAAAAATAGTGGTCCCTAATTAACTGTAGAGGGTACCACATCTTTGTCCTTTCATCACAACAATGACTTCTTTGTTGACTTTTATGACTCTATTTTCATCTAAATATTTGCAACCATTAACTTCAAAAGTGTTTAAAGAAATGAGATTTCTCTTCAAATGGAGAACATGTCCAACATTAGATAATATTCTTATGATACCATTAAATTTTTTGATACGCATTGTGCCAATACTAACAATCTTACATGGGGCATTATTTTCTATTAAGACATTTCTACCATTGATCTGTTCATAAGTGAAAAAATACTTTCTATGAGGAGTCATACAGTATGTACAACTTGTATCTAAGATCCAATCATCTTTAGATTTGATGGTATGAATAGAAAGAACAAAATTATGAGTCTCGTCTTTGATAACACTAGCTTGTGTTGAACTTTCAAGCACGATTAGACTCCCTAGAGTCTTCTTGCTGCCTTCTCTTGAGTTTATAACAATCAGTCTTCACATGTTCTTTCTTGTGACAATAATTACAAAACTTATTTCTGAATTTTGATTTGAATCTTGACTCAACTCTATTTTCTCTTTAACTTTTCTCCTTAGATTTACCTCTTGCAATAAGACCTTCAAGTTGCTGTCTTTTCAAAATAATAGTCATATCTTTATCAATTAACTCTTTCGAAAATAAAGAAGATTTAACATCTTCAATAGATATGGTATCTCTACCATATAAGAAACTTTATTGAAAATGTCTATATAACAGTGGTAAAGAACATAGCAAAAACATGGCTTGGTCTTCCTCCTTTACTCTTTCATCAATATTTTCTAAATCTAGTAAAATAGATTTAAACTCATCAAGGTGAATAAATATTGCTTCAGAAATAATTTGTTGGTTATATAAAATGATTTCAACTTCAACCATAGCACATCTGTTATAGTTTTATGAATGACTTCATGCAGAACCTCACTGGACAAATAAAGTTGAATCACATTAAGAACATTGTCGTCTAATTCCTGTTTTACTTCCATAGACATAGTGTTTGACATTTTCTCTTTTTCTAATAATACTTTATGTAGCCCTTAGTGGGCCAAGAGGGCTCTCATCTTGACCTGTCATATTTTGAAGCTGATGCTTCAATCGAACTTCTCAATATCAAACTTAGTAGATATCTTGTATCTTTATTTGTGCTGAAATAAGACTTTAATTAAGTTCTGATACTAGTTTGTTAGGAAATAGTATTTGAAACAAGATTTTAATGGACATAGATTGACCTGTCAATGCAATGTAAACATGAGAATACAAGTACAATAAGGCTTCTAATATATAAATAATAATGAAAATGTAGAATAAGTTATAATAAAATAAGACTTTGATTATTATGGTCCAAAGAAGATAAACACACCTCACAACTAATAAATCAACAGAGAGGAGAGTAATGACAAGGTATGAGAAATAGAATACAGTAGAGACAGAGTTAATGAAGTATTAATATTAGCCACCAATGAAGGAGAGAGAGAAAAGAGAAGAGAGATGATGACGTAACTCCTGTTGCAGCCGCTAGAGAAGATTGAGTTTCTTATGCCTTAGATTTGTCCGTTTTTTCTCACGTTTCTCTCTTTCCTTCACTGGTGGCTGATATTAGTGCTTCATTAACTCTATCTCTGCTGTATTCTATTATGAGGCGGTGCTTAGGCAGTAACCTGTGCACTAGTTCCGGTACTCCGCCAGAATCATGATCAGGTTCACTGTGAGATTAAGCAATTCAGGGAGCTTCAACTGAGGCATCAGAAGAAATCCATCCCTATGCTGCAATAGGGGGTCGTTCGGGGGACACAGCTGCCGACAGTATTCTCGTGTTTCCAGTCAAGAGGATCCTAGGCTCGTAGCCTTCCAGGCATCCACAGTCTGGGAAGTTGTCGATATCACACCTGCCGAAGGCTCTGCAGATGCCGAACCGGTCAGAATTGTAGGACGGCTGGCGGGGGAAAGTTTTTCACGTCTGAGTGTGTTCTTCGAAGATCAACCTCTCGATCACCCCGTCGTGGCTTAACGTTTAGATGGACGAGATGGAGTCCCTGATCATCTCGAACGCATAGACTGCCTGGTCTCCCGTTATTTTGACGATGAAGGGAACAAATGAGTTAGGCTGCATGTAGGTCACGCCCACGAGGCAGATCCCGTTGAATTGCCCTGTTCTATACTTAATCACCGAGCTCTGGAGCAGAAGAATGCTAGGTAGATTGCTGAAGTCCATCTTCAAGCTAAAGTTCCCCGGCGAAGGGTCGTCGGCGCTCTTCCAAGATGTCAGGTGCCTGCTTGCTCCGGTTCGCCGGTTGACGCTAATCTTCTTGCCTGGGAGCATCAGGCTGCTGGGCTGGTCCGTGCATTGCCAGACAAGGCCGCCTGGTTGGTCCTTTTCACTATCTGTGGCTGCAAGGTTGCCGGAGTCGAGAAGCTCTGTGACAACGTTATCACCGGTATTGGGGAACTCTGGTTCGACCAGACGACCTCCCCCCCTTATTTATCAAGCACGAGAACCTACCCAGTTTGTCGATCCTTAAAACCCCGATGGAGTTGTCAAGCGGCCTCTCCCTGTTGTCCACCAAGAACATGTGTGATTTCGAGACTTCATGAAGCAGATGCCCGCGCACCTTGAGATTCCTGGGCTGAAGAAGCCCATCTTGAAGGTCTGTCCGGCGGAGATGACAGTCTCGCCGTCCCGTATCGACTAGGTCGGGCTGGTGGCCTCCCCTGCAGTCGACCATGAGAGAAAGGAGACTAACAAGAAGGAAAGGAGAAGGGAAGCCATCTTGTGGGCTCTTGCGATCCTCAGACCTCATTAGCAATAATGAGCCCCAGTCCCAGAAGAATTTGAAAGTAGTGGTCGATGACAGAGATTGGGGAACTACAGTGTAACTCCCTTCATCAAGGCCCTACTGCTCAGAGACGCGAACAGCAGATCAGGTCCTGGTCTCATATCTTGCCGTTGGATTCATTTTCTGTGGAAGGGAAGTGGATCCGCAGTCTGGCGGTCGCCCTCTTTGATAGAAAGGCCCTTTATAAATTTCCAATGAACAGATGACCTGAACATGAAGAACGCTCAGCTCTAGGATCAACTTTTCTCAAGGTTCGACGCTTTTCTAACTCGGACCGTGTTCTCCACGTGAGTCCATTCATCCTAGTGCGAGTTTATGGGTTGAATATAGGGTTCTCTGCCCATTTCTCTAAATTTTAGGAGCACATTTTCTTTTGTCGTGTACCTATTTCACAATCGTTCATGCGTAGTTCATCTCTCTCTCACTCACTCTCTCTCCCTCCCTCCCTCAAAATCCGAAGCTCATTTTCCGAATTCTTTCTTCTAGGCCGAAATTAAGACCTTTTCTAAGATGTCTGCACTCATGCCAGACTTTCAATGCCAGGACTAAAGTTTATATGTCCATCACCTTTCGTGCTGGTGAATGAAAACCTCTGTTTCTTGCTTCCGATTCGGATTATATATAAGTTGTGTGTTAAATCTGAATAGCCGTTAAGATTGATTTCATACATATGATAGATTTCTAGTATAATCCCATCAGATAGCAGAAAAATATTCCGGACGAAATGTGCCGACCGGCACTCATGTGAATGGCTTTCAAATGTCCCATTTTCTCCTAAAGTTGTTAGGATGTTGAGATGGGTAGTTCTCTTTGTGTGGTTATTTTTCTGTGGTTATGGTTATAACATGGCAAAAGTCACTCCACTTAGTGTGTGATATTCTCAACAATAAACACTTTTCAAAAGAATTCAGCTGAATTTTTTAATCATAAAAAGTATATTAGTTATTAATATATTTGAACCTACAGTTTATTTTATCGAGTCAATGCTGAGATTTTTCTAATATTTCCCTTCAGATGATGGTCTACTTCGGACGATTCGATCACGTGAATAACGCAAATACGGTATATAAGTTCAGATGTAGCGTATCTCTTGCCAGTCTAGCTTACCTAATTTATCTGAAACTATTCTGACTCAAGGTAACAATTTTTTAAATAATAGTTTCATTTTACTGCAGTTGTGAGCTCGTTGGATTCCTCTCTTGATTTCATGCTAATCCACCGAGTGGAGAAAGAGTCTGCTAGACGCAAGTATTCACCTTTCTACACGTTGGACATGGCGAGTAGTGGAGACTCTTGTCAGGAAAGGGAACTCAGACTTGCTCTCTTCCGCAACCTCTTCAGATTCTCCGCAAGTAGGCGGCTGGTCGTCCAGCCATCGCGGCTAACCTTGCCAGGTCCGTCGTGGCCGCATCATCTAGGAGAGAAGGTCTCAAGGAGATTTCGACATCACTAGTTTATCGTTGGACCGATGCTCTCCGTATGTGGGGATATCCTGTACTTGTTCCCAGGGGCTTACTCGAGAGGGACTCTGTCGTAAATAGAAATCAACGAACTCTGAAAAGAAGGTGTACCTACTTCCTCGCAAAGTCAGCACTTGGGAGCTTCAGACCAGGCGAAACTGACCCACCGAGGAACTTGGACCATGTATATTCAAGAACCCGTGTTCCCATTCTATATTTTGGTTGGCCTATGTGCGACATGGCGACTCTTCCGTAAGCAAGAACAAGTACCGCAAGCTCTCCAGAGGGAAAGGAGTGGGAACGGAGGGAATAGATCATTTTCAAGTTCAAACTATCCTATTTCTAATATGATGGGAAGACCCCCGCTGGCTCGAGAGAGAGGGAGTTCAGTGGATCAGAAAGACTCCCAGGTTCTTCTTTAGTTGATTGTTTTATTGAATAGAGTATGATTTCAAATCGGGATCGCTTGGGACTTGAGGACGAGAGGAAGCAGACGATCGATTTGACTAGCCAAAGATGTTGTAGAGGAGTTAGTTGCCTGTCAGGGCGCGGTGGTTTCAGGTCCCCCAGGGGAAGACGGGGCCGGAACTGCTCATTCGCTGTTTGGTATGATCCATCTCGTCAGTGGTCAACCCTATTCACCGACTAAAGTTCCGCGTTTTGGGCAGAGGGTGAGAGTTAGTGAAAGGGAGAGAAGAGGGAGAGATGGAGGATTTCATCCGAACAACTGTGTTTTAGATGATGGTCAAAGCTTTTAGACCTCTTTTGCTAGAGAAGACTTACCTTTCTCAGTCTGAATGACAGTTTTCTATTAAATATCTTTCATGGGAGAGTGATTGCAAGATTAGTTTTATCTGACTTCAACTAGACATCCCGAAAGCTCATGACCACCGTGGATAAACTCAGTGTCCTACATCAATTCTAAAGTATACTCTGGGCGGAAGGAGAGGGGGAAGACGACACGCTTCACGATTTATTGAAGATCCGGTGAGGCACTTCCGCGTATGCCAGGTCAAAGTCAGATAGAAAGGAGTTATCGGTGTTCTGCACTCCAGTCGAACCGAATCATCGAAACATCAGAGCGTTTGCAGTTCAACCAATATGAGCTAGATTATGCATGGAACAACGCAGAATAAATGACGATCGCGCATCCTCTCTCTCCCTCCTCTTTCTGTGCGTCTATCTACCCATCTATCTTCTCTATCATCCATGTATATTGCTGATTCAATGGTCATCGTCTTCTCTTGCGTTTTTCGACGTCCGACCAGATTATCCTATGACCTAGTGACAGGATGTGGTGCTCTGTGGTCTCTCATTAGCTTGTTACTTTGGTAGATTAGGGGAGTGCTACGTGAAAGCTCAGCTTTCTGTCGGATGTTCCCCAGGTTCTCATTTCAGAGAGAGAGAGAGAGAGAGAGAGAGGTGGAGGTTGGGAGTAGAGCAGCTCCAACGAAACCACGTTAAGAACCCTGGGAAATACAGACGAGAAGAGTCGCCAATTACGGATTCGAGTGTATTATAATCCCAAGATAGAAAAACTAACATATTCTAACCGTTTGACTCCCTCGAGTTTCGTAAAGGATACCTCCCTCTCCTCTCTATCTCTATCTCTCTCTCTCTCTTTCTCTCTCTCTCTTTCTCTCTCTCTCTGCCTTCCGAAACGATTTCAGATCTGCGAAAGAGTTATGCTTTAAGCAGATAATCTCCCAGGGGTGGAGATCATCGTGAGTTAGTAATGATAGTCGGCGAGAGTGGAGGGGGGAAGACGACGTTAGGCGGCGGGGAACCTCGCTGGGCGGGGCCGGCCGTCTCTCGGCCATCATGGCGGTGAACCCCCTGAACAACTATTATTCGGCTCACAGCTTTTGATACACTTCCTAATATTTCCCTAGACCAGGACAATTTTACAGTAAGCACCTACCGGCCCAACAAAGTGAGACTTCTCTTGGACCTATGGCGGGAAGCTGGCGCCATCCTTTTCCTAGCGTTGACCCGCTTGACTTCCGTCGCTGAGTTCTCGTCTGAACCGCAGTTTCGTAAGATTGGAGCTTATGACGTGTAACATACTCAACATTAATATTCCCCAAACCTATGATGAAGAGGTCCTACGAGGCAGTTTGGACGATCTGATGGGAGCAGGATATGCATGATCTTGACTCGAATCCGTTTATACAATCGGATTATGGAATCCCATCAATCCGTACTGACTTGAATTTGATTTCCCGAGCTTTGTTCCGGTATATATATATATATATATATATATATCAACATTAAATATCCCACAAAGCGGTTTGTATCACCTCGATCTCAACCGCCTTTAGCGAGTCTCCCGTCTACCCTCTGGAAAGGCTCTGAAAAGGGTTTCGAGCTGAAACCCGGCTGAAGCCCACACACCTGA